CACTTCCAAACTCAGCATCTCTTCATCCATGCCTGAAATAAGAAGTCGTGAGATGTGCTCTTGGAAGTTGTGTTGAGTTAGATCTGCTATATTCACAACTTTTGCGAGACATTTTTGTATAAAGTAGGGTATTAATTCATAAAAAAGTTTGAATTCTGTTAATCAAAGTGTTCTTCCCAATAGCAATGATGAAATTCACGGCAGCATTCTCTACCCAGCAATTGTAGTATCTGGGCAAGAGCCGTCAGTCTGGTAAAGAATCTGGTTGTTATTTGAAATTGTAAAGGTTAGCTGTTTTTGAAGTGCAACATAAAACTGAACAAAACTAGGCTAAAACCTTTTTGTGTTTTAGTTTGAGTCCCAAAACCCACTAAAACTATCACATATTGTAATGACTAAAATGTGACTAAAACTAATAATACTTTTTTTCCTGAAGTGGAAACTAAGAATTAATCAAAGATGGCTGTCAAAAACATCACTGTGCATGACCAACAGGGAGCTAAAAGCAGTGATCATCTGTCCAAACCGCCAGTTAACGGAGTTCACTGCAAAGTCCACTATATATTCCCCACTCTATATAGTGATTTAGTAGCTAGAATGGATTTTCTTGTGTCCTCATCAAGTATGTTTTTGAGAAGAACACAGAAAAATATGGACTTGGGGAGAACGGGAGCACGCAGCATAAATATGGGTCAATTGGAACAGAAGCGTACTCGTAACGTCACCACATGCTCGGCTCGTCTGGAGCTGCATTTCACCCCCTATTATTAATAGTCTCTAGATAATATTAAATTGCTACTTTTTATATTTATTGGGGGAATAATAGTTAATACAGTCAGATAAACTCAAATCAAATGAACATTTTGCCAAATAAAATAAAAGAATCGCCATCAGAGCCAGCGGTACTTCACACACGGCTAGGCTGAGAGAGGGCTGCTGCAGAAGGGCTATGATGAGACCTGGCTGCTGTTACCCTCGGAAGTCCGCTGGTTGCCACGGTCCTCTCAACTTCGACAATTTTTTGTATTAACCCTTTAAAGCCCGATCCAAGAATAAAACAAAACAGAAAATTACTTTTTTTTTGGTTTGAAGTCCTTATTTTGGCCTTTTAACAAAATATGTAAAAAGAAAAAAACAGAAATACATTTTTGATATTAATAATTTATTACTATGCGATAAGTCAAGATTATTTTTTGTGTAGTCTTCTGCCCTCTGTTATCAGGTATATCTGATTGTGTACAATAGGATTTTGAGCAAAGTTTTTACCATTAAATTATGCAAAAGGTGTCAGACGCAAAACATTTCAGAAACCGTATGTATCAAATATGACACATTTGGTATTACAGGGTTAAATCGCTAAATGGGCCATATAGTGACACTCAAAAGTATACTGTTCTCGCCTCAAATTATCTTAAAATGCACTTTTATTGAACAACAGCAACAGAAAAGAAAACATTTAACTTAATACTCTGAGCTCTGTAAGAGCTAACCTGGAAGCTGATGCTGCCGCAGTGCATGCTGGGACAGCTGTCAATCTCAGGAATGGACAAGTCTTGTCTGATGCATACTCTGTAAATAGGGAGGGTGAGAACAACATCTGCAGACTTTTCCCATTCGCGGTCCGTCCCGAAAGCACCATCCGTTCTGCACATCCGGGTCTTCCTGGATTTTATTTTGTTAAAAATACCTAAATTACGTTTTTCCTCACCAAAAATAGTAAACGTACTAAAATATAATGTGTTAAAGGTTAACAATGTATATCCTAAGAAAATAAATGTCTTAAAATCCTTTCTGTTTTATCAGTCGTCTCTGCCCAATCTGCACCGGAAATGGGATCCAAAGCTACTTTCGGTGGCTAACTTTTTCAGCTTTGGGTTTAAACATAAACCTTTTAAGTCTTTTTTAGTTTTATGTTTTCGTTTTGTTTTAGCCTTATGCTATATAGTGCGTAATCTAAAGAAAGAAACAAATAAAATGCAGATAAACATGGTTTAATCATATTTTGCCTGACTGCTCTGAACATGTCTGATGATGACGTCAGACGTCAAGCAGTTTAACGATTTTTTTTTAAAAAGCATTAAAAATTGACTCACATATTTTATAAAACATTTTTTAAAGATGTGTATTAGCATTCTTTTGTGAGTTAAGGATAGTAATAAGTAGTTTTAGTACCATAATTACAGTGTTTATGAACACCCCGATGAACATATGTTCTAGCATGCGCAGGACGGATTATGCTCCGGGACAGATCGGGTAGTGACACGCACAAGTACACATATTGGTTGTCTCTTGTTGTTCTTCTTGTGTTTTATGATGGTTAGCAGAACAACTTCGAAGGTCATCACCGCCACCAATTGGACTGGAGTTTCTACAAGAGATTTACAGTAAAAAAAGCAACAAAAAACAAAATTCTCTTTAATAAATTTGTAGTTTTCAAAAACAAAATTTACTCAGTCTAAAAATATATTCAAAAGTATACTTTGTCCTTTAATTTTCATATGAAGGGAATTTCACAAACACGTTTTACAGTTCCAGGGAAGTTACAACGTTCACACGCACCTGTCACATGTTTCGAATGACTTTAAGTCAATTATTTGAACCTGTATGACCTATTCTGCAATGTGAAACGGTTGATTCATTTCTCCTGTTTCTTCCTGTTTTTCTTGTATCAGCCACATTGTTTTTGAAGTTTCTTCCTGTTTCCTGTTAACATTAATATATATTAGCATTTTACAATCCTCCTTGCTTGATGGTATATGAATGTCAGCATCTTTATATTTTAATACCTGTTTAGCGAAAATGTCAGCGCTTTCATTACATTACCCTCCAATTCAACACGTGCTGGAATCCAAACAAATTCTAATATATAATTTAAATGGAGTTTATATATACACTATAATAAATACCATTGATAATATCTTTTCTTTTTTAATTATTTGATTCAGTACTTAATGGAGCTGCCAAACTATCAGACATGACTACAACATTTTGACCGTATTGTTTTTCAATCCAGTTTAAACCTATTAATATTTTGTTTCCTTTGTCTAGATGATGATTATACACTGCTGCCCCAGTAGTGATTCTGGATCTTTGGATCCATCAGCAAATGAGATGAAAAAACGTCTGAATATATATTCTTGTACAATAACGTATTGTGGAACTCCTTTTTATTTAGTCTTGATTACCTTATGCAAATTTAAATATATGCATGGCTTAATAAGTAACCAGTATGTAATATCAATATATAAGCTACAGTTGGACATAAATCTATTTTATGCAAATCTGGTTTTTGAGCTTTTGCATTACCAATACATCCAAATCTGAGTATATTTATTTTACTGTGTTCCCGATACTCCTTTAAGATGGTTTTGACAGGATGTGACTGCTCAGTTTCAACTTGTAATGCTGCTTCTGACAATAAAATGTAAGATTACGTAACAGATCTCCTGATAACGAATGAAACTGCAGCTTGTCAGGCGATAAAGATGCTTCAGCTAGTTAACTGTTTCAAGCAAAACAGGAAAAGCAATAAGACAGAATCCCAGAGTAGGGACAGGGACTGCAGAATATGCAGTCCGCATATAAAGAAATTACCACAATTTAAAATGAAAAGGTTTTACTTATTTTGTCCTCAACCAAGGTTTTTGTGAGGAAAATAGCTTTTTATAGGTTATCTTACTTGTAAATGTATTAGTATTTATTGAAATACTTATATTTGTAAAATCAGTGGCAACTGGTTCAGACTGATTAAGGTTGGATAAATTACCGGTATATCTTAAATGTGAGTGTGTACATCGACAGATATTCATAAATAAAGTACAGTACACATACAAAAAGTTATTCATAAAAAACGCACATGCTAAAAGAAGAAAAACAAACACAACAACTGGTTAAAGAAAATAAAATCATAGTTTTCTCATTTTGTTCCTCATTAAATAAACACAGCTCTCTTTTGCACATGTCACGCAAAAGTTGAATTGGTGCTTCATTAAATAAACAAAAGTGCGTAAATTACGAATATTGCTCTAAGTAGCTGTGACATGGTGGACAAAGGATGTAAATACAACATCTGCCTGGCTTCGTTCTGCATGTACTGCTCTAGAATCCTGAGCAGTGTTACACAAATAGTGCGAGCAAACAGTTAAAACATGATTATGTGGAACAGAGTGCTTTGTATTCTCCTTAAATCTACTTGTTCAACTGTTTTTCTTGCTTCGCTTTGCTTTAAAACCACCTCTTTTATGTTTGTTTTTTTTGTTTGTCTTTTCCCATAACCCGATAGTGAACAAAGGCTTTGATGACTCAGCAAGATGAGCTGGAAAAACTGAAAAGGGTATTTGCTGCAGACTGATAACCGTAACTATGTATGGTTACATGTTATGTTAAACAGACTGGAACCAATAAACCGAAACTGACAAACTTTAAAGTTATAGTTACATGCACCATAGAGCCAAATGAATTAAGCCAGACATTTAAAAGGCAAGAAACAAAGATTTTCTTTATTTACGAAGTTATTTGTATTCAACAGTCTTTTTCTGTTCAAAGGGACATCTTGGTTTGACTAAGTCTCTCAAATTGGAGACCCACAGACAGTTTGATAAGGAGAAACTAAGCTGATACCTGCAATGATAAAGCAGGACACATGCACATTTGTTACCACAGCGTTATTGCAGACATTAAGTCACTTTAAATGAGATGTTATAATAACCCCATTGTTATGAAGTAAAGCCAGTAATCTTTATATAAACAACATATTCAGAAAACATAATGGAATGTAGTCAGCAGCTTTGTACTATTAATAAATTAGTGCTATTTATCTTTAAAAACACCTCTCAAACTTTGTTTGCATCAATTTTCAGTGTTTGTTTTAGCGCACAAAACGTTTCTTAGTGCTTTCGCAAAACTAATATAACTGGAACAACGACCAAAGCGACCTTTCATTCTAAAGGATTTATTGTTTGAACTTTAAAAAAAAAAACAGACAATGTTTAACATAAGGCACATGCAGAGCTTCTTTAGGTGTGGACTCTGATAGCAGGGATAACCAAGAGGTGATAAATAATGAAGGTTGTAAAAAAGAAAACCAGTAAAACCAAAAAGTGAAACTTAAGGAGGGAAGTATGAAGGGACACCTTTTGCTGGCTTTTAACCTTCTGATTTTGGGGAGCCTTTGGACTACTTTCTTCTGGTATACATGCAACACAAAGTAAGTTACTTTTTTGCACAATTAACCCAAAAAGGATAAGAAAGGTTTGAGCTTGTTTGGCGTTACGAGTCAGTTAGGCAAAGTTAGAAATGCTAGATCTATAAAAAAGAAGTCGATATTAGGAGGGACGTTATTTTCCTGAACAAAGTCAGCTATTTATCTTTTTAGAAATATTTTGTTAATGCAGCTACAATGACAAAAGTATGAAAGCAGTGCCAGCCAATCTACAAAAAGAAGTTTTATATATCTATAAAAGCGCCTCAAATTAATCTATTTTGTGTTATCTATGAGAACTAGTCAAAGCACCTAAGACTATTATTTTTAGAAATTATTCTAGACTTATTTTCTTCATGTCCAACTACCTTTGCCTTTAACACAAACAAATATATGTGTTGGGTAAAGGTTTATAGATAAGCTTTACAAACATTTACTGACGGGGACCAAAGTCAGCAAGTTGAGTGAAATCGCAGGCCACATTCTTATTTGTCTTTAGATTTAAAAATGAAACAACAACGTTTATAGTTTATATTGATTATTTATTTCTTACTTTATCATTAAATAGACAATAATTATTTTAATGAAACAAACTTAATTTGAGTTTTTCTACATAATATGTGAAAAATAAAAATTGCTGATAGTTTTAGCCTGAACTAAAGTTTCCCATTTTTGAGGAAGTAAGATTTTTTGTTTATTTAATTTATTTATTTATTTTTCTTGCTTGTTTATATGTTTTGTTTTTCCATGCTATGTATGCTAATATGGCTCACTGCTATTAATTGACCAAATTTAATGAAGCGTGCCCATGTTTGGGTTTTGAGTAATCATCACTAAGAGTTTGCGGTTATTCTAGAATAAAATTAAAGCAAAGGCAGTAAAAGATTGATACTTTACATCATACTTAAAATTCCTATTCTAAGAAGATTTTGATGTTTTTGTAATTTCCCTGTGGGCTCCACTTTGAACAGCCTTGTTTATAGCACCAAGTAAAAAATTTGTTAAAATCAATGTTGCTATGACAACTCAAATCTAAGTATTGGCTAAAGGAAAAGGAATCCCAACAGTTGTGACACCCATATGGATTTAAAGGATTAGTGGATAATAAGTCAGGAATTAAACTAAAAAAGAAATCTGAGCAAATTAATTCTAAAGTGAAAATAAAGATATGTATCAAAAAAATCCATTGCATCTATTTTTGATTAATCAAATAAAATTCAACATTATTTAACATTATAATAATTTTTTAGATGAAATCACTATTGTTTATATATTTATGAGGCTTTGGTTCTGGCGAACAGTGAAAACAATGTCAAGTAGAGGAAGAAAAGTAAGTGTTTTTCTCTCAGGCAGAATGAAAGCTTTTGTTTATGTTTGTTTTTACTTCTGCAGTGCTGCTCTCAAGCTATTGGCAGACCCGCTTATCATTATCAAACAATTTAAGAACCACTGTTTTTTTATCATCACCCCAAATTGATGACTATGTTGACTATCATTAGGAGTGTAACTGTAGATTTTAATGCCTATTTGATTCTAGCACAGTCCTTTATGTTTATCAGACCTGTGTAGCAAAATATACATCATTTCTACATGTCTGAAAACATGGAAGACTTATTTTTCAGAACAGAATTCATTTGATCCCAATATGTAACTGTAAGATACTGAAAAAATAGAACAGAATTATCCTTTTCTCTCAGCAATTTCAGATATACGAGTAGCAATGTTAGAGATGATTTAAAGCAGGCTGATATATACAAAGATAAAAATGCAAAACACAAATAATAAGAATAAAAATCTATAAAATCACGGCAAGTTTACAGCTTAAGAAACCTGAAAGAAGTACTGTATTTATTAAAAAGGATACTTAAACTTATACTAATGTGCAAATGGGTAAGCAGATATAAAATAAATGTAGAAAATATACATGTTTATTAATGCATAAGAAACTGCAGAGTATTTACAGGAAATGCAAAACACTTTTTAAGTTTGGGAGCAGTAATATAAAGTCCTATATCGAATATAACTGTAATAATTCTCTGGCAGTAGCTGGATATTGGAACTTTATAATATGTTCATAATCTTTTTTTCATGAAATGCCGACTTTTTTTGTGTGTGTGCAAAATTACGTTTGTTGCTTTTAATTGTTATGTGTCAATCGAATTGTTCTAATGTAAAGAAAACATTGACAGAAACACATCTATTGAATTTATTGATTTGGAATGGAAGGCCATTTAAATTCATATGAGTCAAGAAAGTTATTTAATAATTTGGTATATGTATATACCTATACTGTAATCGCCATACATTTCTGTTAGAATGTTTCTCAAATTGTCTACATAAACAAAAACAGATGTCACACTATTGTAAAAAACCTTTACGGCACGAGAGTAACATGAATAGATAATTTTCTGGAGTTGTACAAACACATATTAATAGTAATTTTATATCAATGGAAGCGAGGTGGGTAATAAGTAGTTACATTTACTCAGTTACATTTACTTGAGCAAAAATAGTTTTTCTATAGTGTACTTTTAACTTTTACTTACCGGTAAGTAAAAAAAATTATGAAGTATCACTACTCTTACTTAAATAAAATGTTTGGCTTCCCTACCTACCGTGAATAACTTTATTCAATGAAGAACAGGCTTGTTTTAAACAAACATACACTAGAGAAACAAATGCCTATATCTAATGAATGTATGTTACTATTTAATGTTACATTAACATACCATATTCTAACCTACATACATAACAGACAATCATTAATGATGACAGAGATTTTAGGATTAAAAAATTTATTAGGAAAGACATTTTGAGGAGTTTTTTCCACTTGAAATAATTGTGAAATTATTGAATTTTATTATTATTTTCGTATCTCGTTTTCAAAATGTGCAGATAACTTTAGATGTTTTGTAAATTTACAGCATTTATAAAACATTAAATCTGATGTTATGATCAGTTACTCAGTATTTGAGTAGCATTTTTGCCAATATTTTTTTTTCTCTTACTTGAGTAATTTATTGGATGGCTACTTTTTACTTTTACTTTACTTGAAATATGATGCAGTAGTGCTATTCTTACTTGGGTATTTAATGTGTGGGTACTATATAAAGGGAAGTTATATGTGACTGCAACAATTTCCTTAAAATCATTTCATAAGATTATAAACGTATATGTCTAAATGTAGTTGTTTGGTTTGAAATGTCTCACTTTAAAGGAAACAACATACATACTGTTCTATGAAGCCAATTTGTGACAATATTCAATATACGCTCATGGACAAAGAAATAGATTATAAAGTTTGCTCATGGTAAAGCTGACCATCCCATAACAAGAACAAACAGGGACAACACATCAAAGAACAAGTTTGCCCACATATAATAAAGCCTTCACTTTTCTAGTGAGAGCCGGAAGAACAAGGCCCCTCTGCATCACTTTTTATCTCCAAGAAAAATTTACTAATTGTATTTTTTTCATTGAAACACAAAAATGTTATATCTATATCAAAACACATTGCACATCCTAACATGAGGCAAGCACACCTTTAGATGCAAGATAAAACTCCCCCTGTGAAGAAAATGCAAATAAAACTTGCCGCACACACTGTTAGAAGTCACCCGTTACATTTTAACTACATAAACGCTCTACCTCTTCTGTAAAATGTGTTTTTGTCAGAAGTTGAAACCTATTAGACTCTGATTATATTTCTGTTTTTAAAATAAAACACCCAATTCTCCCTTGTTTATTTTACAGTTTGTATCTGTACTCACCTTCAGAAATCTGAATGAAATCAAAATCACACGTTACTTACTTTATTAAAAATGATTTACAGTAGCAGCATATTTATTCACACTAATTGAACTTTCTCCAGCGTTTCTCCAGCATTTTCTAAAAATATTTTTAATATTTATAGTATGTATACATTTTATGTGACAGTTCGACACAATGTGCTGGATACGTTTGAAATTGAAGGAAAGGGATGCCTGAAATTTTCTGACATTTTTTTCTTAGCGTATCAAAATAACAGTTCTTCCATCATTAAACTGTTGCAAGGTTTATATTCTATTTTACTGCTGTCTTTTATTTTGATCTGCTGTGGGCGTCACTCCAGCTACTTGTAGATCCTCTGCAACTCGACTATTAAATTTTGAGTGCTGACGCATACAAACATTTAAGGGTAGAAAAAAAAAAAAGACTCAAAGATTATGTCAATAATAAAATGTTTACTGTGTACCCAGAGTTACTTTGTGTCATATGGAGAAACAAAGCCATTGTAGAGCTTTGCTCAGCATCCTGGAAAACCCAACGTCAAAATCTGAGGTTGGAAAATCTCTTGAAAAAACATTCTAGAAAATACTGCTAATTAAACAGTTGTCCATAAACAGTACCTCTTACACCTATTCATACCCCTGATAGAAATATCATTTGCAGCCTTCACATAAATGTAATTTTTATCTGATAGTATTACATTTTTAAGATAATTTCTTTAATTAAGGTGCATTTATGTAGCAGGAAAAATAATCATACATTAAGCATTATAAAGTAGTGTTTTTCTAGTAAGATTACCACCCAGTTTTCTAACTTCCCATTTAGAATATTCTTTATCCTACTCCTAAAAAATTTCAGCACTTAAATTAAAAAAGAACAGAAACCTAGGAATTTTTAACAATAAGATATTCAACCTGAGCCATATGACACAACCCCTTCCACCTTGTCTAAAAGGAAAGTATGGTAGCTTCAAAAGATGTCAAAATCGAGTACTCATGTAGATCTTTATTAAAACAGATCAATAACACACTTAAAGTTCTGAAAAGCTCAAACACAACCAACTCTAGAGATTTAGATAGCTGCGATAAAAAGCACTCAACCCTAAATAATATTTGGTATTTTACATCCACAATTTAAATCTGAATAACTTTGTTACACAAACATTTGATGTAAACTTATAAAAATGTTGAGTTAACAATCATAAAATCATATAGATATAAAATATAAATATAAACTTA